TTTTCCATGAGCTAAGGAAGGATCTGTGTCCTGCCACCATGAGGGGATATGTCTGTGGGCAGTGAGGAGCAGCACTGCTGGCTGCAGATCCACACACTCCTGTCGTGTTTTAATTCTAAGATCTGCCTATCAGAGCATCCCCAGACATCATTTTATCCCTAAATTTTTAAATTTTTTTATCTCTAAATTTATTTCTCACACCCTAAGTCATGCCTGATCCATTTTCCATGAGCTAAGGAAGGATCTCTGTCCTGCCACCACACACCTGATGCAGATCCACACTCTCCCGTTGTGGTTTAATTCCAATATCTGCCTATCACAGCTTGCCCAGACACCATTTTATCCCTAAATTTTTTAATTTTTTAATCTCTAAATTTATTTTTCACACTCCTAAGGCACGTCTGTTCGATTTTCCATGAGCTAAGGAAGGATTTCTGTCCTTCCACCACACACCTGATGCAGATCCACACACTCCTATCACACTCTCAATTCCAATATCTGCCTATCAGAACCTCCCCAGCCGTCATTTTTATCCCTAAATTTATTAATTTTTTAATAAATAAATTGATTTCTCCCGCCCCATGACCTGTTCCCTGAGCTCAGGATCTCACAGTGCTGCTGCCTCACCACATCTCCATAGGAACGCTGCTCTCCATGTGCAGCAACATTTGCTTTTCTTTTCTTTTTTATTTGATTTTTTATTTGATTTTTTATTTTATTTTTTGAATGCCCTGCTCAGGAACGTTACACAATTCCATTTTCACAACAGGGAGGGAGTAATAAATATGGCCAAAATGCTGGATTTGAGATATNTGTGCTTCTTTTCTGCTTGCTGGTGACAGCATGTCCACACAAAGACTGTGACGGAGACGGAAACCACCAGCACGGTGGCGCCGATGAGCCCGGCCACCACGGGGGACACATCTGTGGGGAGACAGGGCCGTGAGGGCACGGCTGGGCACACAGTGCTGGCATTTGCCTGGCACAGCATCCCCAAAATTCATTTCTCACACTCCCAAGGCATGTCTGACCCGTTTTCCATGAGTTAAGGAAGGATCTCTGTCCTGCCACCACAGGGGGAAATCAAGGCCGTGAGGAGCAGCACACCTGATGCAGATCCACACGCTCCTGTCATGTTTTAATTCTAAGATCTGCCTATCATAGATCCCCCAAACATCATTTTTATCTCTAAATTTATTTCTCACACTCCTAAGTCATGCCTGATCCATTTTCCATGAGCTAAGGAAGGATCTCTGTCCTGCCACCATGAGGGACACGTCTGTGGGCAGTGAGGAGCAGCACAGCTGGTGCAGATCCACACACTCCCGTTGTGTTTTAATTCTAGGATCTGCCTATCTTAGCTTCCCCAAACATCATTTTATCCCTACATTTTTTAATTTTTTAATCTCTAAATTTATTTCTCACACTCCTAAGGCACGTCTGTTCAATTTTCCATGAGCTAAGGAAGGATCTGTGTCCTTCCACCATGAGGGGACACATCTGTGGGCAGTGAGGAGCTGGGACCTGGCTGCAGATCCACACACTCCTGTTGTGTTTTTAATTCTAAGATCTGCCTATCACAGCTTCCCCAAACATCATTTTTATCTCTAAATTTATTTCCCACATTTTTAAAGCATGTCTGAGCCATTTTCCTTGAGCTAAGGAAGGATCTCTGTCCTGCCACCATGAGGGACACGTCTGTGGGCAGTGAGGAGCAGCACACCTGATGCAGGTCCACACACTCCTATCACACTTAATTCTAGGATCTGCCTATCACAGCTTCCCCAAACATCATTTTTATCTCTAAATTTATTTCTCACACTCCTAAGTCATGCCTGATTCATTTTCCATGAGCTAAGGAAGGATCTGTNAGTTCCCTCAGGAATAATCCAGTCCTTTTTCCAGCTCCCTCAGAAATTCTCCATTCCCTTCCCAGCTCCTTCAGGAATTCTTCAACCCCTTCCCAGCTCCCTCAGGAATTCTCAGCTCCCTCAGGAATTCTCCATTCCCTTCCCAGCTCCCTCAGGAATTATCCAGTCCTTTTCCCAGCTTCCTCAGGAATTCTCAGCTCCCTCAGGAATTCTCCATTCCCTTCCTGGCTCCTTCAAGAATTCTCCAGCCCCTTCCCAACTCCTTCAGGAATTCTCCATTCCCTTCCCAGCTCTCTAAGAAATTTTCCAGTCCCTTTTCCAGCTCCCTCAGGAATTCTCCATTCCCTTCCCGGCTCCCTCAAGAATTCTCTATTCAATTTCCAGCTCCCTCAGGAATTCTCAGCTCCCTCAGGAATTCTCCATTCCCTTCCCAGCTCCCTCAGGAATTCTCCATTCCCTTCCCAGCTCCCTCAGTCATTCTCCATTTCCTTCAAGAATTTTCCATTTCCTTCCCAACTCCCTCAGGAATTTCCAGCCCCCTCAGGAATTCTCCATTCCCTTCCCAGCTCCTTCAAGAATTCTCCATTCAATTTCCAGCTCCCTCAGGGATTCTCCATTCCCTTCCCAGCTCCCTCAGGAATTCTTCAACCCCTTCCCAACTCCCTCAGGAATTCCCAGCTCTCTCAGGAATTCTCCATTCCCTCTCCAGCTCCTTCAGGAGTTTTCCAGCCCCTTCCCAGCTCCCTCAGGAATTCCCCAGCCTTTTTTCAGCTCCCTCAGGAATGATCCAGTCCCTTTTCCAACTCCCCCAGGAATTCTCCAGCCCCTTCCCAGCTCCCTCAGAAATTTTCCATTCCCTTCCCAGCTCCTTCAAGAATTCTCCATTCAATTTCCAGCTCTCTCAGGAATTCCCAGCTCCCTCAGGAATTCTCCATTCCCTTCCCAGTTCCCTCAGGAATTCTCCAGTCCCTTTTCCAGCTCCCTCAGAAATTCTCCAGTCCCTCCCCAGCTCCCTCAGGAATTATCCAGTCCTTTCCCAGTTCCCTCAGGAATAATCCAGTCCTTTTTCCAGCTCCCTCAAGAATTCTCCAACCCCTTCCCAGCTCCTTCAGGAATTCTTCAACCCCTTCCCAACTCCCTCAGAAATTCCCAGCTCCCTCAGAAATTCTCCATTCCCTCCCCAGGTCCTTCAGGAGTTTTCCAGCCCCTTCCCAGCTCTCTTAAGAAATTCTCCAGCCCCTTCCCAACTCCCTCAGGAATTCTCCATTCCCTTCCCAGCGCTCTAAGAAATTTTCCAGTCCCTTTTCCAGCTCCCTCAGGATTCTCCATTCCCTTCCCAAATCCCTCAAGAATTCTCCATTCCCTTCCCAGTTCCCTCAGGAATTATCCAGTCCTTTTTCCAGCTCCCTCAAGAATTCTCCAGCCCGTTCCCTGCTCCCTCAGGAATTCCCAGCTCCCTCAGGAATTCCCAGCTCCCTCAGGAATTCTCCAGAATGTTCTGGATCCAGCACAGAGCTGCTGCCTCCACAAAGCCCTTTTAAAATATATTTAAAATATTTAAAATATTTTAAAATACATCTAAATTATATATACATTTATTTATATTTGAAATATATAAAAATATATAATATATATATTAAAAATTATATAAAATAGATATAAAATATATATAAAATATATATAAAATATATATATAAAATATATATAAAATATATATAATATATATATAAAATATGTATAAAATATAAAATCTTCAGCTAAACCAAAGGAAAAACCCCGCAGGTGAACTTGGGGATTTTCTGCTTTTCCCACCCACTCCAAGGCGGAGAAAATAGCTTCTACCTGAGAGGCCGGTGATGTCCATCTTTGGCAAATGCCTGGCCTTCAGCACCACCACCGTCATCCTCTGTGCCACGGGCTGGTAGGACAGGGCCACCTGCAGCTCCCCCCTGCTGATGCATTTCTGCAGAGAACACACACAGAGCTCAGCACGGCTGCTCTGCCTCGCTGGGGGCTTCCAGAAATTTCTGTCCTTGTGTTAAATGGATCAAATGGTGGGAAATGAGCCCCAGGGGTCTCGGGTGAAAAACTGTGAATTTGTGGGAAAATAGGATTTGTGGCTGGGGATCTGCATCATTCCTGATCTGAAGGTTCCAGATTAAAATCTCTGGGGTCAAACACACCAAAAATGTGAATTTGTGGAAAAAATAGAATTTATGGCTGAGGATCTGCATCATTCCTGTTTGTAAAATCACTGAGGGTCCAAGATTAAAATCTCTGGGACCAAACACACCAAAAATATGAATTTGTGGAAAACCCAGAATTTGTGTCTGATGATCTGCATCATTCCTGATCTGAAGGTTCCAGATCAAAATCTCTGGGATCAAACACACCAAAAATATGAATTTGTGGAAAAAACAGGATTTATGGTTGAGGATCTGCATCATTCCTGCTTGTAAAATCACTGAGGGTCCCAGATTAAAATCTCTGGGATCAAACACACCAAAAACATGGATTTGTGGAAAAAACAGGATTTATGGTTGAGGATATGCATCATTCCTGACCTGAAGCTTCCAGATCAAAAGCTCTGGAGTCAAACACAGCCATATCTCACCAAAAATATGAATTTGTGGAAAACCCAGAATTTATAGCTGAGGATCTGCATCATTTCTGCTTGTAGAACCACTGAGGGTCCCGGATCAAAATCTCTGGGGTCAAACACAGCCATATCACACCAAAAATATGAATTTGTGGAAAAAACCCCAAAATTTATGGCTGAGGATGTGCATCACTCCTGTTTGTAAAACCACTGAGAGTCCCAGATCAAAATCTCTGGGATCAAACACAGTAAAAATATGAATTTGTGGAAAAAACAGGATCTGTGGTTGAGGATCTGCATTATTCCTGCTTGATAAACCATGGAGGCTTTTGGATCAAAAGCTCTGGGGTCAAACACAGCCATATCACACCAAAAATATTGTAGAGAAAAACAGAATTTAAAAACAGAATTTGTGGCTGAGGATCTGCATCACTCCTGTTTGTAGAACCACTAGAAACAGGGTTTTGAGTGTTCCAGATCAAAAGCTCTGGGATCAAACACAGCCATGTCACACCAAAAATATGAAATTGTGGAAAAAATAGAATTTGTGGCTGAGGATCTGCATCGTTCCTGCCTGTTAAATCATGAGGCTCCTGGATCAAATTCTCTGGGGTCAAACACAGCCACATCACACCAAAAATATGAAATTGTGGAAAAACCAAAATTTATGGCTGGGGATCTGCATCATTCCTGACCTGAATCTTCCAGATCAAGATCTCTGGGATCAACCACAGGCCACAGATTCCCCCCCACGGATTGTGGGCGCCCACACCCACCTGGATGTTCCGCTTGAGGATCTCCCGGGTGAGCTGCACCTTGCCCGTGCTGGGATCCACCCCCGCCAGGTGGATACATCACCAAAAACATGGATTTGTGGAAAAAACCCCAAATTTATGGCTGAGGATCTTCATTGTTCCTGCTTGATAAACCATGGAGGCTTTTGGATCAAAAGCTCTGGGGTCAAACACAGCCATGTCACACCAAAAATATGAATTTGTGGAAAAAACAGGATTTATGGTTGAGGATATGCATCATTCCTGACCTGAAGCTTCCAGATCAAAACCTCTGGGATCAAACACACCAAAAATATGAATTTGTGGGAAAAATAGAATTTGTGGCTGAGGATCTGCATCATTCCTGTTTGTAAAACCACTGAGGGTCCCAGATCAAAATCTCTGGAGTCAAACACAGCCATATCACACCAAAAATATGAATTTGTGGAAAACCCCCAAAATTTATGGCCGAGGATTTGCATCACTCCTGTTTGTAGAACCACTACAGAGAGGATTTTGAGGGTCCCAGATCAAAGGCTCTGGGGTCAAACAGAACCATATCACACCAAAAATATGAATTTGTGGAAAAACCAGAATTTGTAGCTGAGGATGGATGTGCATCACTCCTGTTTGTAGAACCGCAGAGGATCCCAGATTAAAATCTCTGGGATCAAGCCCACCAAAAATATGAATTTGTGGAAAAAAAAGGATTTATGGCTGAGGATCTGCATTATTCCTGCTTGATAAACCATGGAGGCTTCTGGATTAAAAGCTCTGGGGTCAAATACAGCCATATCACACAAAAAATATGAAATTGTGGAAAGATTTCTGTGGATCTGCATCACTCCTGCTTGTAAAACCATGAGGCTCCTGGAATAAAAGCTCTGGGATCAAACACAGCCATATCACACCAAAAATATTGTAGAGAAAAACAGAATTTAAAAACAGAATTTGTGGCTGATGGTCTGCATCACTCCTGTTTGTAGAACCACTAGAAACAGGATTTTGAGGGTTCCAGATCAAAAGCTCTGGGATCAAACACAGCCATGTCACACCAAAAATATGAATTTGTGGAAAACCCAGAATTTGTGTCTGAGGATCTGCATCATTCCTGATCTGAAGCTTCCAGATCAAGATCTCTGGGATCAACCACAGACCACAGATTCCCCC